CTTAATTCACAATACACTTGACAGCTTAATTATGTTTTTGTTCCAGATTTTTAATTATATATATATATATATATATATATATATATATATATATATATATATATATATATATATATATATATATATATATATATATATATATAAATATCTCACTGAAAGAGAATAGCAAGTTGTGTTCGTCAATTCGCTCCGCTCCTGCATTTTATTAGTTTGGTATTATACAGTATTCATATATTGTGGGTTATGAGCGAGGTGGGGGAAGATGTGTTGCGTCAGATGGATCCAGCCCCCCAACGCCGGTGGCTCTATGAAGACCTCCCAAAGATTTCAATTTAAGCTATGGCATAAAAGACAATAGATCCATGTAGAGCGGCAGCGGCCGGGCCTCCAGGGGTTAACTGGGCGCTTGGCGAGCTGTGTGTCGTGGAGGCAGCGTGCTCAGTCCTCGTCTTGAGCTCTGATCGTGGTGTTAATAATGGGATTGAAGGAGAAAGTGTTCTGTTGCAACTTAATGCGGCAAAGGGGAACTGAGAGTGGGTGTTACTGAGCCTTCTCGCTTAATTGTGCTTGCGGGGGTTGAGCTTCGGCTCGTTGGTTCCGCCTCTCGACTGGCAATCAATTGGTGTTACAGGTCCCTGGGTCTATGGTTTTCTAACATAGCTATATTTGAAATTGTGTGTGGAGTCTGCCTCCACTACGTCACATCCTAGTGATGTAGGTACGGTGACGTCAGTAGTTACCATTTGGTAACTACTTACCATTACCATGTTACCATTTGGTAACTACTCTGACACGGGAAAAGATATTTCTAATGTCTTTGTGGCTCATTTAGGTACAAAAGTTTCCACCTGTGTCCCCTTGTTCATGTTCCATCCGTGGAAAATAGTCTTTCTTTCTCTTTATTAATTCACCTGAGAATTGTGTATGTAGTAATCATGTCCTCAAACTCCTCTGTCTTCCAGCGACGTGAGGTTTAATTTCTACAGTCTTTCCTCGTAACTCATATCTCTCAGTTCTGGGACTAGTCGCACGCCATTAAACAATCAGTTTTGTATTGCTCTTGAATAGATAGGGACACTACGCTGGAACCGCATATTCCAGGATTGGTCTGACATATATGTTATATCAGGTACTGAATGATTATCTTTTATATGTGGGTTCAGAAAATACGTTCGTTATGCTATCAACCAGAAATCTTCCTCTGTGTCAGTTTCTTAAAGCATTTCATCTGTCATTTGGTACCTTGTGTTTGGCCTTCTGCTCCTTGCACCTAGTTACAGTATTTTTACTTGAGCTAAACTCTAGTAGCCATTTGTTGAACCATTCTTTCAGTTTGTCTAGATCATCTTGTCTTCGTCTGTCATAATGCTTCTCGTAATTTTTACATCGCCAGCAAACATTAAGAGGAATGAGTTTTTTCCCCTCTGAAAGATCATTGAGAAACAGGATAGGTCTAAGAACTGAACCCTGTGAGACTTCGCTCGTGACATCTCGCCTCTCCGAGATCTTTGCCTCTTACTGTACCTCCCTGTCTTCTGTTGCTTATCAACTGCAGCACCTTCTGTCACTCACGCTTGCTTCTCCAACTTACGCAATATTCCCTTGTGGGGTACTGTGTCAAGGGTTTTCCAACAATCCAGAAATATGCAGTCATCCCACCAATCAACCCACCAACCAGCCAGCCCAAAAATAACAACGTACTGGAGTGAACGATATGGAAGAAAATGCAGAATAGAACCAGTGAAGAGCAGAGGTGCCATAGGCACAATCAGAGAACACTGTATAAACATCAGAGGTCCGCGGTTGTTCAACACCCTCCCAGCAAGCATAAGAAATATTGCCGAACAACCGTGGACATCTTCAAGAGGAAACTAGATTTATTCCTCCAAGGAGTGCCGGACCAACCGGGCTGTGGTGGGGTATGTGGGCCTGCGGGCCGCTCCAAGCAACAGCCTAGTGGACCAAACTCTCACAAGTCAAGCCTGGCCTCGGGCTGGGCTTGGGGAGTAGAACAATTCCCAGAACCCCATCAACCAGGTATCAACCAGGTACCAGGTAATCTCTGGCTTGTTTAAATTTTGTCACCTGGTCATAAAATTCCCTTAACGTGCAATGCAAGATTTATCATTCCTGACCCAGTGCTTGTGATGTTGAAAAGTTCCTTCTCTCCAGGCGATCTATTGATTTTTTGACCAAGTAATCTTCACCGCTTTGTTTGGTATGCAGGTTAGGGAGGCTGGCCTCTAGGTAAGTTCTCCCTACATGTATGTCGAGACTATATTAGCTGTCTTCCAACTTTTTGGCAGACATCCTGTTTGCAAGCAAGGAGGGGAGCCGGTCGGCCGAGCGGACAGCACGTTGGACTTGTGGTCCCGGGTTCGATCCCGGGCGCCGGCGAGAAACAATGGGCAGAGTTTCTATCACCCTATGTCCCTGTTACCTAGCAGTAAAATAGGTACCTGGGTGTTAGTCAGCTGTCACGGGCTGCTTCCTGGGGGTGGAGGCCTGGTCGAGGACCGGGCCGCGGGGACACTAAAAAAGCCCCGAAATCATCTCAATTTAACCTCAAGATAAGGTCAGGTCGAGAGCATTGCTCTATCTAGTTGGCTCAATTATCTACGGGTTTAAACGTAAAATTGTGAATTTCGTTAAGATTTAGTTGATGACCAAAAATGTACAGTTTTTATCTTATTTCTTGCAATAAGATGATGATACAAAATTCTTGTGCGCGATGAAGTCATGTGACGGGATGAATCTGTGATGAAGATTTTGTTATTATTATTTTCTACCACAAACGTGGTCACACATTTACAGTGCTAACCAGCATATATACAATTTCTTCTGTCCTCCATAGACAAAGTTAGAGATCTGTTAAACATATAATTCAGTGATTTATTGAACAATCAACCACAGAAGATGATTGTAGTGCTTTGAAAATACTAAGCTAACCTACAAACATAACTACACAGATTTACGCCTATCCTACATAAACAGTGCTCGAGGTGTCTTTTTTACAGTGTCTTTTTTACATGTGCGTTTACAAAGGTGAAATGCAGCTCTGACCAGCCTCCATATACCCTGTATAGTAATACACATACACACAGTTTCAAGTGTAGATACGATAGAGCCCAGTAGGCTCAGGAACTTGATCTTCCCCAGCATACGGATGCCTGGATGAATACCCTCTTAAAGGGGAGTATTGACCCCTGGGTTTACTTCCCCCCCCCCCCATTGTGTCTTCACATCCGCGATGTGTGTGTGGGTGGGGCTGGGGGGATGTTTGCCTGGCGTTGTGACAGGGTGGAGATGTTTCTCTGCTGTTCATCCTGA